TGCCCCTCTTGTACTGCGGAGCCCAGAACTGGACACAGCATTCCCAGGTGTGGCCTCACCAGTGCTCAGGAGAGGGCAAGGATCACCTCTCTTGACTTGTTGGCAACACTCCTCCTAATGCAGCCCAGGATACCATTTGCCTTCTTTGCCAGCAGAGCACATTGCTGGCTCATGTTCAACTCTGCAAAGCTGCTTTCCAGCCTGCCAGTGCCCAGCAGGTACCCCATATGCCTGGGGTTGTTCCTCCGCAGGTGCAGCACTTTGCACTTCCCCTTGTTGAGCTTCATGAGGTTCCTGTCAGCTCATTTCTCCAGCCTGTCAAGGTCCCTCTGGATGACAGCACAACCCTCTGGTGTATCAGCTGCTCCTCTTGCATAACCAGCAAACTTGCTGAGGATACGCTCTGCCCCATCATCCAGATCATTAATTGGACCCAGTGTCGCCCCTGGGGTACGCCATTAATAACTGGCCTCCAACTAGACTTCATGTCACCGATCACCACTCTCTGGGACCAGCCATTCAGCCAGTTTTCAATCCACCTCACTCTCTCCTCATCCAGCCCATACTTCTTCAGTTTCTCTGTGAGGATTTAAGGACACCGTCAAGGTAGACAATACCCACTGCTCTCCCCTCATCTACCAAGACAGCCATTTAATTGTAGAAAGTTATCAGGTTGGTCAAGCATGACTTCCGCTGTATGAATCCATGCTGGTGACTCCTGATTACCTTCTTGTCCTTCATATGCCTGGAAGTGTGAATCTTCCATCACCTTCGAGGAATCGAGGTGAGCCTGACTGGCTGGTAGCTCCCTGCATCCTCATTCCTGTCCTTCCCGAAGATAGGAGGGACATTTGCTTTCCTTTGGTGCTGAGACACCTCTCCCAGTCGCCATGATCATTCAGAGATAATCAAGAGTGGCCTTGCAATGACATGAGGTGGGTCCCTCGGCACTCATGGGTGCATCACATCAGGGGCCACGGACTTGTGTATGTCCAGTTTGCTTAAGTATTCTCTAATCTGACTCTCCTCCACTAAGGAGAGCTCCTTGCTCTAGACTTTCCCCTGGTCTCCAGGTCCTTAGGTTTCTTAAGGCCTTAGATGTCTGAGTTAAACATTCACATTACCACCGGGAACTTCTCTGGGGGCTTAATAACATGAGCTATAATCGTTTAGTGATCTGCTCACAGTGAAAAGGCCACACTCAATTTCAACCCACTCACCTATCCATGCCTACACAGGGGAGATGCCTTTAAAACTCAAAAATACCTTCCTGCTGTGATTTAACCATACATTTAAACAGTACCTGTGACATAATTGCATGGCTTCTGCAGCAGCTGTCCCCTCATCCAGCAAAGATGCGTTAGCCACATCCATTCCTGTGATATCACACACCATGGTTTGGTAATTTAGCAGGCTCTCCAGCCTGCCCTGGGAAACCTCAGGTTGGTAAGGAGTATACTGGGTAACCCTGTAAGAAAAGAATTCTGAGTTTGGGTCTAGGAAAATAAATGTGTAACAGAATTATGCCAATATGTAACTGAACTATGTCATAGGAAAAATAAATTGTAAAGCATAACTCACTAACATGAAAGTTTGTTAGAAAACAGTTATTTTTAGATGGCTGTAATTTATTACTGTCCTGGAAGCCTGAGAATATTTTCTCTTCTGGTATTGACTTGGCTTTTTACAGGAGAAGAATGCTATTTCTCCATTTTGAAAAGAGAAATTACTTTTAGAAGAGAGGTGTGAGTGCATCTTGAGGAAGGGAGAGGGGAAGTAGGCGCCGAGTGTGGGAGAATTGAGTCAAGTCACAATATCCAAATGAGAATGCTTAGTTTAATCATGTCTAGGTATTGCCATTATCTTTCAATACTGTTTCTGAAGCCCTTTACTTGCCAAGTCTTCTCCACTCATGGGAGGAAAGGCACTTGGCATTTCACAGATCAAGCTCAGAAATACGCAACTTCTTGTGAAATGACAGTTTCCATATACGTTAGTAGAGGGAAGTGAGACTGATGTGAGTTTTATCTACTGTTATTTGGAGAACAAAACCGTAGAGGCAACATAAGCAATTCCTTCGAAAAGGCAACAACCTAAGGCAAACACTCCATTATAACAGGCCAGAAAAACAAAGCAGCATGGGTCCAGGGATGAAAGGCAAGAACAGAGATCAGGGTCTCCTCTCACTGATGGAAATTTGGGTACTGGATTCCACGGTGGCTCAGGACAGACTTTACGCCAGTTTGAGTTCAGAGTAGTGGCCAGAAACAAGTGATAAGTGGGAACACTCGTGGCCTCTGTTTTCTAGCAATGGAAGAAAACAACAGTTTGTTTCCTGAATAGGCTGTAGTAAGCCCTAGACTTTTGAAAAATGCTTATGGGTGAAGGTATAATCTTTGAAGAGAGACTGAAGTATTTGGAAGCTGAAGTCATGTCAAGTCAATAGAAGGTAAGCAACAAAGATTTTTAAAGAACAAGCTGCAGAACCTGTGGTATAGAGCAAGATGAGAGGAGCAACAAAATAGTAATGCCAGAGGGCAGGTCAGAAAAAAGTCCTGAAGAAGAGAATGGAAGAGCTAGAAAGAAGGACATACTCAGTAAGTGAACTCAAAGTGTAATATATGATGCTAACGTATTTAGTGTCTATGTAAAGGATGTATTTGCTCAAATTTCTCACATATACTATTCAGTACAGTGACAGAAAGCAATAGCTATATATCAAATTAGATAATTATTCATCTTTTTCCCAAATATTGAAGGTTTTTCCTGCTTCTTAGCCGAGTCTAACTCTAAACTACGTAATCATCATATACTTTACTGCATGGTCCACAGTGAGACCATGTCCTGGGCTGCATGCAACATCTCAATACTAATAATTTTTTTTTCTCCATGGCTGCTAAACTCAGTTTTCAGCTTATCAGATAAATTTTCAATCTGGGAGTGTAAATATTTGTTTTCTGAATGGTCCCCCTGCCCACTCAGTTCTCACCAATAAAAAGAGTTAATCCCAACTCCTTTGCAAGTTTTCCTGCTTAGTAAAAGAAACTCCTCTGTACTTGAAGTTAATGATCTTACTTTCCCATTTGATTTAAGCTAAAGGCCTTTTTTTTGCATTATAACTTGCAGGAAGAGCGAAAAGTAGACTAATAAATTGAGATTAACTGAAATGCATTATGGAAATATTACTCAGTGCAAGAGAAGAAAAATAAAATCAAGCAGTTCATGTGGTGCAAAATTCTCTATTTTTTTTAAAGACAAAGCAGCTTTCTTAAGATGTGAGTAATGTTCACAACTCCTTGCTTGATGAGAACCCCCTTTCCTAAGATTTTATCTTATATAATTAGAGATAGACTTTGCAATGAGTGCTTCAAAGCAGACCACTCAAATCAGCTACCCAGAAACCTACTAAAAAAGCCTCAAGAATTTCCACTTATAGTTTATGCTCAAATGATTTTTTACATGAAGTTTTTATACTGTGTAAAATAAATAAATAAATCTACTCTTAAAGTGCTACTAAGAAGCTGCTAAATTGATGGTTCCCTTGAATAACCTCAATCCTACCCCACATAGCTGGGATAGTACACTATACTAGAAAACAGATTCAATGAAGCTTTGTGATTTCGATATTATGCTTTTGAATGGTAAACACAGTTGAAGTAAAACCAACCAATTTCAGAAAGGATGGAAAAAACTCAACCAAGAAATCTTGAATGCCAGTATTACCGCAAACTACAGAGCATGAACTTTAACAGTTGTACAGGTAAAGACACCTTTTATAACATAAAAACATTTATTTAAACACTTTATTTTTTTTTTGAAAGTTGTTTGGCACTGTCTAAGCATCTAAATCTTTTAATATAATAATTCTAATTCTTCACGATTTCTTCAAATAATATAGCTGGCTTTAGTCTGCAATCTGACTTCTGCCTGTATCTATACTACACGTTAAGTGACTTTTTAAAGTCATTTAAAAGCAAACTCTTTAAAAGCAAAAGTAATTTCTAAAGTAAACTTTTACATAAATCAAATCTCTAAAAAGCGTACTAAACCATCTCTCATTCAAAAACCCCCTCTCTTCTGCTTATGTTTGTTCAAGTGGCTATTCTGCACATAATTCAACTCCAGTACCAACGACATTAAAATGAAAAGGAAGAATTACCATCGTGGCAAGGAACACAACTACAAACTGGCTCTTGCTCAATCAAACTGGAGGAAAACATGATCTCCAGTCAGCATCTGGTCTGACCAAAAATACTTCTCTGGACAAACGCTCCCAAACTAATTAAGGCAGACAGGTCATGACACAAAAGAAACCTTCCATGACAAGCTTGTGGCATCTTTCCTAAGCCAGTGCCTGACCTTCAGGAGTTTGGTAGTAAGTGGCTTCAGTTTTTGTAGCTTTTATAACTCTTTGCTTTAGTTTAGTGTTTCGCCGTTTGCCTCATCCTACTCTCAGAAATACTTGTAAGAATACCAACCTTAAGATACCAATGAAGGTTTTAAAAGAAAACCTGGCATAAAAGCAAGAAGTATCTAAGAAGCATGCTTTCAGCCAAAAGCTAGGTCACTCATCAAAAGACCTGGCTTATGAAAGAGCAGAAGCTTTCGTACTTGGCAGTTGGGTTTGTTGTAGGTTTAACAACAAAAGAAGCAGACTATACATTAACTGCAAGATTAACAATTATGGCTTCTTTATACTGAAGTATAAAGTATATATCTTTAAGTATATATATATGAAGTATATATCTTGCTTCCACGCAAAGATTCAGAAAACTCCATTATCAAGCAATATTCAATGAACTTGTTCTTGATTAGTATTTGTAGGTGTACGGTCAGTAAGATCTAAGACTAAGCCTAATTTATTTCTTAATATACAGTAAGTTCTAGCAAAACAGTTCACCATGTATCTTACTTAGTAATTTTTCTATACTTTGACTGAATCTCTGGAAAGTTAATGTATTTGTAATTAACACAATATTTTTTCCCTTGTTATAAATCATGTTCTTGCAGTTTTAGACATCTGCGAGACTAATCTCATGCAATGGCAGAGCTAGAATTTATTTGGATTTCCAGTTATACAAAGTATTCTTTTTGAGATCTGACAATTAATAAGATGAAACAAACTTAAAGTAAGGACAGGCCACTAGTAGAATTTAAAACCAACATACATGAGCCACAGAAAAAAGATAATTCATACATCTGACAACACTGGAAAACTGAGACTGAAGTTCAGTCATGAATACATGAAATTTTAAAATTATTTTATGGACTGGACATCACTGTTAAGGCCAAAACTTAAACAAAACAAAACAAAAAAGCTGTATTTAATTTAAATAGGCACATACATAAATACTGCAGTGTGGAAAGATACTAGAGTAAAGCTGTCCAACTAGGAGCTATCCAACTGCAAGCAGTTCCATCCAGCGTGTAAAACTCCCAAATGCTGTAGCGTATATAGAGTTCCAGATGCATCACTTGGCACTTTATGCATCTTTGAAGAGAAGTTATAAGGATGTTCCTAGAACAGTATCTTACCCATGGGTTTGAGAAAGCTGGATGGTCTTATGATAGGGCATGGCGATGTGCCATTTTCCACTCAGAGCATAAACACTGAATTTACTGCCAGTTTGGCATGCTTTGTAGTTGCTTGTGCAGTCTTCTGTATCTGGTCTACAAGTAGAAACCAGCTGCGTAATGTTTATATCAGACTTTTGCACAGTGCACAGTAATTTTCAGAATGCAATGCATAAGTGCTGAGTGCTACTAGCTAATAAGTGTAGTAAGTTACACTACTGATGTAAAGATTGCAGGTGTCCTTGGTACAGGTACTTTATTCTTACATATTTAATGTCTGGGGGCAAAGTAATCAAGTGAGCTGTACTTTGGAGACCTCTGCCTCATGCTCCGTTGTATGGTATCAGTGTGCCTTTAAAGGCGTTCTTGATTTTCAAGGCCTGATAGGTATTTTTATCCATTTAAGCTCCCAAAATAAATACTACACTGTTTTGACATATACGTTAATAAGAAGCCTATATGTAAGCTGATTTCTGAAACCAAATATTCTTCACATCTTCAGTTATTCATTTACGTTCACGGCAGGGCACAGAATTAATTTGGTATGCTACTAGGGA